TGACATCCAGTTTGGCTTCACAGTCGTCATTTAAGGTAACCTTCTCACTATAACATGTAACTAAATATATTTGACTCTTTTATTAATTAAACCTTTATAATTTTTTTTCATATTTTTTCAAACATTTTGTTCATTCATTCCAAAATTAACAAATGAATTGTAGTAAAATACAGTAAGAAAAATAATATAAGAACGATTGATTCTCATTTTTTATTAAAAATCATATTACATTTGTGTGTACTTTTTTAAAGAGTACACATTAATCTTCATCAATGTTTAAAAGACAAGGCCTTACTTTTGTTGTTTTCTCAGTAAAAGTCCATCATTTTCACAGAGCAGGCCTAGTAGATCAAATACTTGTATATTTATATTTTAAGTATTATTGAAAAGTCATACATTTGGCAATTAATTAGCTGTTTATTCACTGCTAAATGTGAATAAATATTAAATTTTATTTTTACAAAAACTATTTTTGACTATCGCAACTATTGGAAAAGTTATCCCGCTAATGATGCAAAAATCAATTCATCATATTGTGCATCTATAAGCCACAAGATAACTGTGCAGTTGATGGGTTCGTCAAGTTTGATGGACTATATCTCTAGAACTGAAACCCACTTTCAAAGATTGTTGTTTTGTAAAGTAACAGTAAAAAATTCAAAATCAAAAAAACATAGAAAGAGTAAACAGTGAGAAATGAACAAAAAAAAATATATATTAACACACAAAAATCATGGTTGTATTCCCTTATATCCCATCTTTGTGAAAATGTATATATAGTGATAGTTACATGCTTATAACTGTTAAAAAACTCTCTATATTAAATCTCATCTTCATAATCTATGAGCTCATTTAAGCATGATTAAATAGTCTTTAGATATCAGTGTGATTATCCACTGTTTAAATGATCTTTATCATGTGTTACACAGAAAGGGAGAGGTCTACGTGAGAAGCTAGCAGAGATGGAGACATTCCGTGAACTGTTATGTAGACAAGTAGATGTACTTCAAGCATACTTTGATTCCTGTGTTGAGGGGGGACCAGTTGAAAACAATCAAAGACACAGTTGGCATGACGACCCATGTAAGTGTGATATGGTTGTTGATAACTGTTACATGCATGTTGAAAAAATAAAAATAGTTAACTATTGAGAAAATTTACTTTACAAAAATTTATCAGTATTCGGTTTTAATATATTAGGTAAAAATATTTAAAAAAACAAATTATTTGTTGTCGCTGTTGATAATTTTGGTGATTCTGGAGGGTATACAAAAATGATTCCACTCAACCTTGTAGAACCTATTACCTGAGCCACACTTTTATTTTGTTACTACTACATGTATAATAATAATATCTTGATGTTCTTCAACTTTTTTGCAGTGGAAGAAAATGATGGCGATACTGAAAGTGATGATTTACTCAAACCTCAAGCTGACAACTCACATTTAGATAGTGAAAATGGACATAGAGAGCAAAGTGAGTTCGGAAGAACACCAATAATGTATTAAATATAATAACAATACCATGGGAGTTAAAGTTCATTGTGACAATGTTTCATTTGCCATTGCTTATATCGTGTCTTGCATGTCAATGTTCAGATCACAAACTTGCCTTGTGAGTCTTTCATAATGTAAACCACTTGAATTTGAGATAATTAATAAGTATTGCACAAATTTATAATAATATAAATAAATTATATAACTAGTTACAGTTGACGCACCAAAAGCCATCACCGAGTCTCAATGACGCAGCAAATGTTATTAAATCATCAAAACCTTGCAGAAAAACTGATTTACATTATTACTTATTAAAATCGATGCATATTTTACCACACATGCATTTATTGCAGAAGAGGGTTTAGTAGTGTGATAAATGGCTTAATACATGCAAAAAACTAATAATTGGAATCACATGTAAATTTATAGCTATGATATTTCACTAATTCATTTGCATTTATTAATTTATGGTGTTTATTTCAGCTTCATCATTCTTACCTGACATTGGGATAGATTTTAAAGGAGAAGCCTTTACTTTCAAAGCCACAACTGCTGGTATCTTAGCAACCTTGTCTCACTGTATTGAATTGATGATACAAAGAGAAGACCAATGGCAAAGGAGATTTGAAAAGGTATGTCTGTGAATTTATTATTTTCACTGCAAAATAAACTCCAAGGTTTGCTGCCATTATTAGTCCCTGTTTGAAAACAAGGGGCTTGTGGGTTGACCTTTGTGCATGCATTCATCTCTGTTGGTATCTCATACATACATTATGCTTCATGGGATACACATGCATGTCCTTTAGATGACTGAATGGCTGCCATTTTTGTGCTAGAACCAGAACCGGATCTTGGTCATGAGAAATGTCACTCAAACTTAATTTGTCATTATGGGACCTTCATGTCCCTCATTTTAATTGTATTAAAATTGGATTCAAAATAGATGATCTGTCGAATTACACCCTCATGGACATCGACAACTAGGTAGGGTTGTGCACTTTCTTATTATTGGCAGTGATCCTGTTGATGACGTTGCGAAGTTTAAACATTTTGTCTTGTCTTGTTTTTTTTTCTGGATTACATATTGTAATCATATTGGTGGCAGTAATACTGATTATGATTAAATATGTCCTTTATTAGTCCTCGTTCAGACGCAGTCCGAAAACGAGGATTTACGGATTGACCTCTGTGCCTCCATGTGTGTGTATGTGCGTCCGGACCTACCGTAAAAATTCTAAAATTTTGCCCCCCTCTGAAAAATTCGGGCGCCTAATTATTTGCTGGATTTCGGTATTTTATTGACCTCCAAATTTTTAGACTTCACTAAAGATTGCCGACTTATTCTTATTCGAAAATTGCAACTAGTTTTGGTTTCCCGACTCTGGTCGCATACAAACGCTCAATGCAGTCAGGTATCCGCCATGTTCTTTCTCTTAGGTCAAATCGGTAATTAACCAATCAAAAAGCTGGATGATGTCAATGTGTTCAAATTACCATAGCTCATTTAAATATGTTAATGTTATTGAACACAACACGGAAGAGACTTGCTGATGTTGTAGTCCGATCTTTTAGCTTGGATTTTGATGAGGAAAACGGCATGATTTTTTTTTTTAAATCAAAAAGTTGTTATTCTCAAAAAATAAACTGAGCATTTGAAGAGTAATTTAACATTGTTTAGAGTGATAACAGCTCATTGTCGAAACGAAGCTTACCCATTCCCGCCGTGATTCACGCAAGTCACAATAAACATACTCTTGAATAGGCGTCAATGACTGCGGTAAAACTTACTCTATTTTTGGCATCAGGAATGATTGAAATGTCATTTTATTTTTTTAATCCAAACTGCTGTTCAACACCCAGGGCGAATTTACGGCAGAATCTGGTTCCTCAAATAAGAACACGTGAGTTGATTATAACCGAATATATTGCACTGGGTTGGGAGATACAAACTGTCCCAGTTGCGAAACTTCCATGTATCTTTTGTCCAATGGGTACCTGTACTTCGAACATTAGTTTTCCTAGGTGATGCAAGACAGCTTTGTTCGTAACCGGACGAACTCTGTTTAATTCAATGAAGCAAACAACTGTCAATGCTACAATAAATTGCAGAGGTACGCTAACATTAATTGAAAACAAGCAAATAATTTCCATTCACAGAGAGGGGTAACTTACATACATTAACAACTCTTTTGACCTATTAGTTTTGTGCTGACCTCTTCTTCGCGTCTTGATGTTTTGTTTTCCTTGTCATAATACTTACTGATTGAGGACTTTGATTTTTAGTTGTTTCGCCTGCAACTCGGCCACGACCTTTGCGTTTACCGTAAAACATGGAGAAGTTTATGTCAATTTGACGGACATTCCTTTTTTTAAAAACTAACGAAGTACACTGTCTATCATCCCCATTATTTTTCATTTGCTGATTTCTATTCTGAAAAATTCAACCGTTTGAAAATGCTATTTAATTTTGCACTCTAAAAACATGTCAGATTAAAATTATTTAAAACTGGCCGAAATTTTAGAGTGTTCAAGTATATCTTACACATGCCTGGACCAATTACATTCAAACTTCACACATACATCATACATATTATATAATTATTATACACATGCACATCAATTTGTTTTATGTTCTAATTCAAAGTGGCCAAATGACAGCCATTTTTGTGCTAAAAAAATCCAATATCAAGCATTTATGGTTGGATTTTGTTCAAACTTGGTACATACATTAGACATTATGGGTTCCTGATGCACGTCATTTTATTTTTCAAATCAGATTCAAAATGGCTGACTGGTGGCCATTTTGTTTAAATGAATGGGCTTCTAGAGCTATATCTCTAACATGCTTTGACTGATTATGTTCAAATTTTATATATTCGTTATACATCATGTTATAGATATACACATGTAGATGTATTCAAATTGGCAGATTTTGTTTTAGTTTATGTGGTTCCAGAGTATTATCTCTCAATATGGACAAGTACTTGTTTGACGATCAGATACAAGATGTCAATCATTTTAATGACTTTGATGTATGTAGGTACAATGATACCTAATTGATTCTGGTTTCATCGACCCGAGAAAAAAATTACATTGGGCTATTAATTGCGATTGATTGCTAATCTAGTTCAACTTCAACCATGTTTTTCATTAGTCCCATGTTTGATTACTATACCATTGTTAGCTGAACAGATTCTTCTTTGTAATGGTTGATAATGATATTGTTTTTCTTATTATTTGTGTTCTTAAGGAGCAAGATAAAAGAAAAAGAGCTGAAGAGGCTTATCGAAATGCTTCTGCTGAATGAAGAAACGAGCAACCTTTGGAGGTCCGGATTATGAGGTAGCTTATGAATTCAAATGTATCTTCTGTATCACTTGCAAACAGATAAAAGTAATTTCAATCAATAAGAAGAGTATTAAAACGAAGAGTGATACCACAGCAAAGAGCTGATGTACCTCAATTATCGTGCATGTATATCAAAGTCATTAGAAGGCGAACAATACAATGTAATTGACATTCACTCCTTTTCAATAGACCATTTTCTGTTTACTGCGTAATCCTGCGTTATGCTTGAAACCGAATGTAAAAAAAGGGCAAACAAAGGTCATACAAAATGTAGCTTTGTCAAAACACTGCTGGGATTCAACAAATATTTTGGCAGCATTTCTATGCCTAATAATGTGCTATTTGAGAATCGTCAATTTTAATGAAGTAAGGTTATTTCAGTGCATTTTCTGCTCTGAAAGATCTGTATCCCAATATTGAACTATAAAATAGAAATTCAAGTTCAAAATCAAATCAATTGATTTTGGCTGCAGAAGTTCAATGCCATGATCTTGCAGTGAACGGGAAATCACCTATTGAAGGGTAATCTCAAGATCTCTTCGCAATAGTTTGTGTTGAATTACCATGGGAAATATCCACTGGGTCACCATGGGCTGTATCCACTGGGTCACCATGGGCTGTATCCACTGGGTCACCATGGGCTGTATCCACTGGGTCACCATGGTCTGTATCCACTGGGTCACCATGGGCTGTACTCACTGGGTCACCATGGGCTGTATCCATTGGACGACCATGGGCTATATATGTTGGGTTACCATGGGCTGTATCTATTGGGATACCATAGGCTGTATATGTTGGGTTACCATAGGCTGTATCTATTGGGATACCATAGGCTGTATATGTTGGGTTACCATAGGCTGTATCTATTGGGTTACTATGGGCTGTATATGTTGGGTTACCATAGGCTGTATCCATTGGACTACCATGGGCTGTATATGTTGGGTTACCATAAGCTGTATCCATTGGGTTACTATGGGCTGTATATGTTGGGTTACTATGGGCTGTATATGTTGGGTTACCATG